CTGTCTGGGGACCAACTCTGGTCCAAGTAGCTGTAGTCAGAGAGGAGTCAAGTGGGCTGAGAGAGGGGAGGGGAGGCTGGGATTGGCATCTTTGTGCCAGGCCCTGAGGGGCACATGGGGGAGGCAAATGTGGGCCCTGCCCTCAGAGCTGCAGTCTAGAGGTGCCCTCGGATTTGTCTGCCCACACAACTAGAGAACCAGTGACACAAGTGTCCCAGGACAATGAAGAGAGGGCGGCCGCATCAGGCCTGGAGCTCTCCTGTCACAAGGCAGCCCACCTGCTTTCAAAACTGCACCTGGCAAGAACAGCCACACCAGGACCCCAGACACAGGTAAAGTGAGTTTTGTTTTTTTTTGTTTTTTTTACAAACTTTCGTCAGAAAATGTAAAATTGGCAACTGGGCTTCAGCAATTTATTATTTGCCCGTCATGAAAGCATTTCACTTTGGATGCCAAGATGTTAGGAACCGGGAGAGCAGCAGAGTCGGGTTCATAACAGTGCCTGTGTAAATGAGGTCAGTGATCTAGGAAGAGGGACTCACCTGATCTGGCCACAGAGTAGGGACAAAGCAGCCCCGTTAGGAATGTGCAAGGTGCTGTTTTGAAGAGGCAAGCCCATGTGAGGACATGATATTCTTTCAGTATTTGTTCACTATCTTGGTTACCTAGTGCTGCTGTGACACAAATATGACAGCACTTGGTTGAGTGGGTGGCTTTAAAGAACAGGAGCTTATTGTCTCACATTTTGGAGTCCAGAAGTCCGAATCAGGGTATCAGCTCTATGGGAGGGTCCTTCCTTGTTGGTAGACCCAGGCGTTCCTTGGCGTTCCTTGGCTTGTAGATAGATAATCCTCATATGGTATCTGTCTTCCCCTGTGTGTGTCTCTATGTCTATTCTCCTTTTTATAACTCAGAAGTGATTAGGTTTACAACCTACCCTACTCTGTTATGACCTCATTAACCCTATTTCCGAGCAGGATCACAACCACAGGTACAGGGGCCAGGAGTTCAATACATATATTGAAGGAGACACAATTCAATCCATAGCATTCACTATTTGAGGAGAGATTGATGGTTTCCAGGGAAACGATGACAAGCAGTGGCTCCTCTCCTCTCCCAGAGGATCCTGCTCTAGCCCTATCCTGCACCCCGCTGAGCCAAAAGCAGCCCTGCAGTTAGTTACCCAGAACCACGCCCCTTAGAAGGACCAGCTGTTATCCATTGGAAGGTTATCCATTTGGAAGTAACAGAAAAGCCCCACTCAAAGCTTTACATAACAAGGACATGTATTATCTCAAATACCAAGACACCCAGAGGTAGAGCAGATTCCTGAGTTCGTTGATTCAGCAGCTCAAGGACATTTTCAAGTGTGTGTCAAACTCAGTGTGGGAGAATCTCCTCACAGTAGCCTACTTCACAATCACAAGATGGCTGCCACAGCTCCAGGCATCACAGACATGACTTACCCCAGAGAACAACGAAGGAGCTCCTTGCTATTTCTTTTTTTAGAAGCAAGAAGACCCTTCCCTTCATATCTCGTTGGCCAAAACTGAGTCACACACCCATACTTTAGGTCACAAACCTATACTTTAGTGGCTAAAGTTCAGCCAGTCCCTGAAAGGCAAATGGGAGCAGCACAACTGATTGAATGTGACTGAGCATTCAGGGTGGATGATCATTGGGCAGCCAACCTGTAACCTCTGGCCTGAGTGCCCCCCTAAGGCTCTCACCAGTACTTCAAGTGGCTTCTCAGAATATTCTTTCCAACCACATACAGTTATCCCCCAGGACTGTTTTGGTGAAGACAGTGTCCTCCACTTGTCACGCTTCTGGGACGTTTTAGTCACCCTTAGGCTCGTGCCCTGAACACCTCCCCTGGTCAAGGGAAAACACTGACCTGTTAGCAGGCGGGTGCATCACACTTAGGTATGGACCATCTTTTTTCCCTCCACCTTTCAGTTGGTTTGATGGGAACAGTCTGGCCTTAAGAGGTCCGCCTATGAGGGCAGACCTCTGACCCTACCTCTTGGGGCTGTTTCTTTCCTGCTCTTTCCCCCATTCTGCAGTGGTTGTGGTCACCAATGCCACAGGCAGCGCCCTGATTCAACCCGTGTGGAGAGCCACTTCCCCAATCCCCACCTGTCGCTGCGGCCCCAGGAGAGGTGGAGGGAATTATTCAGCATGCACTGGATCTTCACGAGGGGCGTGCTTCCCCACCGGAGTATTTCTTGTTTGTTCTTAAACTTGTTCTGCAGACTTGTTCTGACTGTAGGTTGCTCATTGTAAACCACATTTTCCTGAATGTGCGTAATTTTTCCAGGCTGGCAAGGGAGACTTGTGACCCAAGCTGAGTCTGTCATGCTGGGTGACCTTGAACTAGCCCCTTCCCTTCTGTGAGTCCCGTTAGCCCCAGGAACAGACTGAATGCATCTGAGATAGCAGATACATAGCATGAGCATAGCCACCATCCACCTGGTGCTCACAGCAGACATTACTAATCAAACACAGGCTCGTTCCCTCTGAACTTGGGTTGCTGCCAAAATTCTCCTCACTCCAGGCCCCCAGGCAGCCACCACAAACGGATCAGTGAGAAGAGCCACATGTTGACTCTTTCATTTGCTATCCCTGATCTAGATCATCACTAACCTCCCTCCAGACTCTCAGATCTGCCATCACTTGACTTTCAGTGCCTCACCTCCCCACTGCTCTCTGAAAAGGAACTCTGCGACTCCACACCCCGTTCCATTCCCCCTGAAGACACTGTCCTTTTGCCACAGGAGTACAGAGGTTCACATCCCTGCCCTGACACTTCCCAACTGTGGAACCTTAGGTTTCTTAGCCTCTCGAAGCCTCAGTTTTACCCTCTGCAAAATGGGGCTGCTGTTGTGTGCCCTAAGATGTTGTGGGAATATGCCTAGTAGCACACCCAGCCAGGGAGGCACTCAACAAGCACTAGTCCAGTCCCTCATCGGGCTGCTCCTGGCTCTGCCAGGCAAGTCAGCTGAGGATTTTGATGGGGGGCCGGGGGGGAAGAAACAGCACAACAGCCATTCTTCGACAAACTTGTGTTTATTTCAGCCCTTGCACCCTCCTGCCCCCACCCAACCTTGGAGACAGCCTGACCCCATCTTGTGCTTTGGCGGGGCAGGGTGAGCATCCCATATCCTCACCGAGGCAAGGGCCACTGTACCGTTAAGAGTTTGTAAACCTGCACCAGGACTGGGCATGACACCTCACCCCACCAGCTGGGTCTGGCCAGGGCCTGGGGCTCTGGACAGCTCCTCCACTCCTCCAGAGACCCAGAGCCTGTGGCAGGAGCTGCCACCCACCCCCGCTGCTCAGGCATGAGCAGAGGACTCTGGGAAGGAGGGGGACGGGAACCGTACCAGGACCCCAGAGGCAGCATCTTCCAGACAGAAGGCAAAGCACAGGTGAGGTTCCCTCCTGAGGCACCTCTGGGTCTCCGAGCTTGGCTTTCCGCAGTCAGTGCTCCTGCCCCTCTCCTGGGGGCAGTGCCCACTGTCCCTCAGCCAAGCCCAGCACTGAGATCATCCCCCATCCCTTCCCACCAGACAACAGGAAACAAAAGCAGTGAAACAGCAAGCTCTGTTGCTAGAAAAAAACATCCCAAGTGTTTAAAAGTAAAATAAAAACTATAGCCCCGTCCACTGAGCCAGCAGTGAGCGAGTGAGGCCTTGACTACAAACATGTACACCGCCCCCATACTGCCCCAAGCCCCAGGGTCTCCAAAGGCAGCAGGAAGGGGGCCGTGTCTGTCACCTAGAGGCAGCCTCTGGAGCAATAAAGCTTGGGGTGGCAGTGTCCTCGGGGGGTCCCGGTGTGGGACACTGAGTATTGTAAACATGACCAGCTGGAGGGCTGGGGTGTCCCGAACCCCAGATTCTCCCTGGACTATGAGTGGGCACTGTGGTGAGAGAGAGAAGTGAGACCGGGACGGCCTCCGAGCAAAGCAAGACCCGACTCCTGCTCTGGGCCTCAGTCTCCCCATCAGAAAATGCGGTGGGAGGCTGAGTCTGTGAGCGCTGGCAATGCTGTGACGGCAGGACCTCATGGAGTTGGAGGGAGACTCTTCTGGAAGCCAGACAGGCTTCACGGCTCCTGTTTTTCTACCATCGGATCAGCTCCTGGGACTTTCCTAGCGGTGAGTCAGCTCATGGCCACCCCTCCCTGGCTGAACCTGTCAGGAAGTCCTGGGGTACCGGTACCAGCTCAGGCCATGGTCACCCAGCCGGGTCTGGAGGAGATCTGGCCTGCTCCCCGAAAGAACCCGCCCCAGGCCAGCAGAAGAGCTGGCTCCGGGAGAACGTGACTAAAGGATACAGTCGGGGAGGGTGTGTGAGGCCCCATGGGGACACAGACACGGCCGCAGCCAGAGAGCCCGCTGCCTGCCAGGCACACCTCCTCAGGTCTGGCCAGGAGCCAGGGGCCTGGGTAAAGTCCTGGCTCAGCCCTGCTCTAGGCCAGGAGGCCCGGAACCCAGCCATCTCAGCGTGCTGTTCACGCACTGAAACCTGGGCCTGCTCCTTGGAGCCCCTTCTGCACCTGCTGCTCTGGGAGCCAGGCCGCCAGGAGCTAGGCCAGCTTCTCTGGTGGGGCCTGAACAAAAGAGGTCAGGCCTGGGTGTGGCGTGGGCGTAGCCGAGCCTTCTTGCTGTCCATGTTGAGGGCGTGGTCAGGAGCCACCAGTGCCAGGGCTGACCAGGCATTTGCCTATCAAGCTATAGGTCACTGGCAGGTCCAGTCCCTGTCCAAGCTGGGGGCCCAGCCCAGGCTTATTACCAGCAATGAGCTTTTGCTGAGTAACTGGGGCCAGGCAGCCTAGGCACCGTCAGGCTTGTGGGAGCTCGTCCAGGATTCTCCTCAGATTCTGGCATCATCGGCCCCACAGGGATGGGCCTGCTCTGGTCAGACAAGCCAAGCCCCCTCACAGTCCAGCACCTTCTCAGAGCCGGGGTCCCCCCAGAACCAGGCTGCTTGGCAACCTCAGGGCTGGCCTTGACCACTTTCCCCCAGGACCAGGGCCCGCAGGCTCTTCAGGGCTGGGCCCTGCTCTTGAGCCACTGGCCTCTCAGTGCCCTGATCTCCTGTCCGTACCACTCATGCAGCTGGGCAAAGGAGGCCATGTCAAGAGGCCCGCTGGGCGTCGAAGTGCGCCGGCAGGGAGGCAGCGGTGGGAGCTCAGGGCCAGGCTGGGCGCCAGCGTTGGTCACCATGGGGGTGGCAGGCAGCTCAGTGCTCCAGACAGCGCAGCCGTTCTCCTTGGGCAGGAGGGCGTGGGGCTGGCGGGGTGGTGGTGGGCAGCCCCCTGCCCGCATGGCAGCCAGCTGCTGCTCCAGCTCACGCACCACGAGCCGCAGGTAGTCGAAGCTGGCCCGTGACAGCGCCTTCACCCAGCCCTCCATGGCGGCCTGGCTCTCGGCAGCCAGCACATAGGTGCGCTCCCGGGCACCGGCGAAGCGCACGGCAAAGGCAAACTCCTCGGCAGCCTCCACCAGCTCCACAGTGCAGCCTTCCAGGATGATGACACCCACAGGCTCGCGGCTGGCCGGGTCCTCAAAGTAGAACAGCATGTTGCCACGCAGCACAAACCAGCGGCGGTGGTAGGTGGCATGCCGCCCGCCCTTCTTGTACAGGAAGCCTGCGTTGTCCACCGGGGCATCACAGGTGGCGTAGAAGGCCAGGCTGCGCTCATTTAGCTTCATGGCTGTGAGCGTACGGCCTGCAGGGGAACTGGGGCCTGCCCCCACCACAGCAGCCTTTATTCACATGTCCATCGCCACCAGATCACCCAGCCCCTCACTGTAACCTCCCAGCCACCCTGGGCCACCATGGCACTCCAACATCCCCATTTCACAGATGAGGAAATTGAGGATCAGAGAGCAGAAGCGGTCTGGCCAAGCTCACACACCTCCTAAGGCTCAGAACAGGACCCAGACTCAAGTCTGACTGGTCCCAGAATCCAGGCTCCTAACCATCCGCTGTCCTGCCTCCCCAAAATAATCTCAAGGGTTCCAAACTACAGTATACCAAGCATTTTACACATACTAAGTCATTTAATCCTCACACAAACCTTAGCAGGGACTGTCGTTGCCCCCATTAGACACATGGGGAAACAGGCACAGAGAGGTCAGTCACTTGCCCAAGGTCACACTGCAAGTTGAGATTCAAATCCAGGCTTCATTTCAGGTGTCTGCTGTTTCCATCCCCTAGGGCTGGACAGCTGACCTCCTGTTCCTTCCAGCTCCCAGCTCTGCTGATTCTGTGACTCAGCCTTGATTTGTCCATCCATAAAATAGGGATATGAACAGAACCTACTTCAGAGACTTGTAGGCAGTTCATTCATTCATCAAATATTTATTAAGCACCTACTGTGTGACAGGCACTATTCTAAGCACTAGGGATATAGCAGTAAACAAGGTCCCTGCCCTCATGGAGTGGACTTGCCAGTGGCCAAGGGAGGGGAGAAAGACAATGAACAATTTAACAGATAAAATATGTCTGCCAGATGGTCTTAAGTGCTATGGAGGAAAAGACAGGGAAGGGGATCCAGAGTATTGGGGACAAAAGGGACATTCGTGACTTTAACAGGGTGGTCAGGAGAGGCCACTGTGAGAAGGTGATATTTGAGCAGAGACATGAGGGAGGGGGAGGAGGGAACCACACAGGTATCTAGGGGAGAGCAGCCCAGGCAGAGGGAACAGTGGTGCAAAGGCCCTGAGGTAGGCATGTGCCTGGTGTGCCTGCAGAACAGCCAGAAGGCAGAGGGGCCTGGAGCAGAGTGAAGAAGGGGGAGAGAGGTAGGAGATGAAGTCAGAGATAGGCGAGGTTGTTATGAAATAATCCACATAAAGACACGGGCCGAGGGCCTGGCCCAGTCTTACGGAGGCGTGAGGGGTCATTGCATGACCATGTAACTTAGAGGATCTAACTCTGTGCACTTGGCCATGGTGATTTCCTCTATCTTTCCCCAAGGAGCACACGATGGGGGCAAAACTGGCCAGGTAGGGCTTATCTGGAGGTGACACACGGGTCCCCCGTGTGGCCACACCTCCCCCTGGGGATTTCCTCCATCACTCTGAGAACCCGCACATGCTGCTATTTCACGCCCTCACCCTGTGCAGGACGGCAACTACATTTTTCAAAAGGCCAGGTATGTAAACTCCCTGGTATGCAGTAGGCGCTCAATTAGTGTTCGTCCCCTGCCTGGGTGGTGCCTTACTCAGGGCCAGGAAGAATGAGGTCTGGGGGCTGGCTCCCCCAGGAGCAGTTGGCCTCAGTGGGGAGGGCTGCCTGACCCAGGGTGGAGGGGCAGTTGCTCCCAATCAAATCCTCGGTTTCCTTACCACCTCACCTCGCCCACCTGGGCAGTCAGGGAAGGCTTCCTGGAAGAGGCAACATGAGCCATGCTGTAGGAGCTCAAACCGGCCTGTCCCAACCTAGCAGGGGAGCTGAAGCCAGAGCCCCCTGGAAACTCAGGATGTTTAATCTGCCTCCCTGCGATGTGTGACCTCAGACACAGGCTGGCCCTCTCTGAGCCTCAGGTTCTCCCCCTGCAAAATAGGACTCACGCGTCCCCCATCCCCACCCTCACGCATACCCTATGGACCCCAGGCCCACTGCTCACAGGAACCTCCCACCCCACCACCTACCCCACTGCCCTCATACCTCTCAGGCCACTGCTCGCCTCCCCACCCTCTGCCTGGCTCTGGTCTCAGCACGCTCTTCTCTGGGTTCAGATCTCAGTTCTGCAGCACCTGGGCTGTGTGACCCTGGGCAAGCTATTAGCCTCTCTGGGCCTCCGTCTCCACATCTGTGAAATGAGATCAGGGTTATTGTGAAGATGAGCCAGGACTAGGTGGAAGGTGTGAGAACGGTGTTGGGCACACAGTACGTGCTCAGCAGTGGTAGCTGTTCATGTCATTCCTCTCAGCCTCCCAAGTGCTCCCCTCCAGTGCTCAAGTCTCATCAAATGGTCCTTGTTCTCCCCGTCACCCCACATCTGATCACTCATCACGTCTAATTGATTCTTCCCTTTAACCTCTTCCAAGTCACTGGACTACTCGCTGTCCGCTGCCACCACTCCATTCTAGGCCCCATCACTGCTCCCCTGGACGACTGCAGTAGCCTCTTCACTAGCCTCCCTGCCTCCATCCTTGCCCCCTCCCTGTCCATGGCTCCCCAGTACCTCAGGGTAAGGCCTGAAGTCTTTCTTTGGCCCACAAAGCCCTATCTGCCTCTCCAGCCTCGGGCTCCAGGCCTTTACTGATGTTCCCTTCCACTGAGAACACCTCCTCCAGGAAGCCTTCCCTGACTTCCCTGACTGGTCAGGTACCTCCTCTGGGCTCCCGCAGTCCCCCTAGGTGTCTCTGATCGCAGCAGTGATCACGCTGGCTTATTTCTGCCTGGTCGTGGGCACCCTCACACCCCCCACCCCACAGGCTGTGAGTTCCACAAGGCAGGGATTGGGTCCTGTACAGTCCAGCAGGGGCTTCAGAAAGAAGTGAGGCTCAGGACCTGCCCTAATGGGGGGAACTGAGGCAGGGACACAGCCACTGGAACATGAGGGAGGCTGTGCCGAAGGCCCCATGGGGAGCCATGGGCAGCTCAGGAGGTCAGAAACAGGAGATGGGACTCAGGGCACGCAGGGAAGGGTAACGGAGGAGAGGCAGCGCACAGAGCAGAGACGTGGGCAGGACGGTGTTCCAGCCAAGGCCCAGCGCAGGCAAAGGAAGGACAGCGGGTGGTCCAACACGATGGCGTCTGGAGTGAGTCTGGACAGGCAGGTGGCTGGTCCAGCCCTCAGTCTCACTGCTGCCTCCCTTGGCCCCACTGAAATCTGCTCCCCACGCTGAGCGATCCTGGGAAGACCAAGTCCAATCAATCCCTCCTGTGCTCTGAACCCTCTCATGGCTCCCAATTTCTCACTATAAAATTCAGTTCTCACCATGGCCTCCAGTCCTTTCCCCCTCGCCCACTCCGTTCCAGCCACAGGGGCCTCCTTGTTGTTCCTCAAACATGCTGGACACATTCCCACCGCAGAGCCCTTCCCCTGACCTTCCCATAGCTTCACATCTTTCAGTCTCAGCTCGACCATCACCTCTTCAGGGAAGCCGTCCCTGACTGCCCTGTACACAAGAGACCACGCCCTGCCCCTGCTAGTCACTCACTGGCACCTCAACCCAAAATTACCTGGCTCATGTTTGCGTGCTCCAGAAGGGCAGGCACTGTTGGTCTGAATTCCAGTGCCTGGCACATAGTAGGTGCTCAAATACCTGTTGAATGATGAATCAAGCAGTTATCTTCTTAAATTTCTCAACAGCCCCCATGAGCAGGGGGCCTATTCTGCCAATGAATTGATACGGAAACAGGCACAGAAAGGTTAAGTGACTTGTCCAAAGACACAATGCCAGGCCCACAATCCCATGCTCTGGGCGACTAGCCCATATGGGGGGAGGTTGATCTTGGGGTCTGCCCACCCCATTACAGCTAAAGGAAGAGGGACCCCCTCCCCCTCAACTGCCCAGATGGGGCCATCTGGCCCAAGGTCTCGGTGTCACAGCACAGGGACTGCCTCTGCCCTTGATGGCCCTTGCCTCCTTCAGCCCAGCAAGAGCGGGAGGGCAGGAAGCGGCAGGGCAAGGTGCTCCAGCTTCTCCTAGAGGCTGAGGTGGAGGTTCCAGGCTTATCTCCCCAGCCTCACCCAGAGGGTGACAGGGAGGGCCTGGTCCTGGGCTTATCTCACCACACTGTTATCCAAGAAGTTCAGAGTCTGCTGCAGGCACTGCTGCTGATTCAACAGCCCTTGGCCAGGCAGGAAGCTGTCAGGGGCCAGCCCCTCCACTGCCAAGGCCAAGTTCCTGCCTCCACCATATTCAGGCTGAAGGACCTTGGGCAAGTCATCTTCACCTTCCTGAGTCTCAGTTTCCTCATCTATCAAATGGGCTGTGGAGAGGGTTCAATGAGTAAAAACAAGGAAAATCCATTGGTGAACTATGGGAAAGGTGCCAAAAAGATATGCCGCTGTGAGTCAGGGTTTTCATAGCCTCATCAGTAAAATGGGAACACTAATACCCACCCCTTTGGGAAGGGGTGACTATCAATGTAGAAGAGTCATTTTGCAAAGTGCCTGGCAGGTAGTGAGCACTCAGAGAAGGATCCGTCCAAAAGGCAAATAATTTGCCTACCGTCTACAGGGGCACAGCTGGCCTACATGCCGGGACTGTGGGGAAACTGAGGCATGGCTTTTCAGCACTCACCAGGGAGGATTCAAGGAAAGAAGCCAGAATGGCTGGTCCTAAGGTTGAGTCCAGCCGCCCCCGAGTGTCCCCTGAGGAGGACTGCCCATCTTCCAGCAGTGGGCGTAGGGGAGAAGGTGTGGCAGCCACAGGCTGGAAAACTTGTGCCAAGAACACAGAGGAACTGCCTGTCCCGCGCTACCCTAGGCAGTGACCACAGGGTCCCAGAACCGCCGTCCTGGGCTCAGGGAAGCCCCAGTGCTCATTTGCAAAGGCTGGGTCTCCACGTCTGGCTCTGCCCCTAGCTGCTCTCAGCTCCTTTGTTACGGTGTTTGGGTGCTCTCTAGAGTTCCGTAAAGGACGGCCAGAGTCCCAGTGGGTGGTCAACGGCAGACTGTGCCAAGGGAGGGCTTGTTGGCAGTTCCCCGTCCCTTACAGGGCTGGGAGTCATGGGCCAAGTTCGCCCTGGCAGCTGGGATCCCTAATGGCCACGTTACCACTGGAGTGTAATCACAAATGGGAAGAACCCCAGCAGAGCGCTCTCCAGGCGGCGGGAGGACCCGAGGCCCGCGGCGGCCCGAGCCCGGTCCCTTGTCCCCTCGCAGTTCCGCCCGCAGATCCCCCGTCCAGGCCGGGCTTACTTCGCAGCGCAGACCTAAGGTGGCGAAGGCGGCGGTGGGACGGGAGGCGTGGGGCCCGGAGGCGGCCGGGCCATGGCCCGGGACCCGCTCAGCAGCGGTGACGACGGCGGTGCTTTGTCTCCCGGGGCGGCCAGGCCGGCGCAGCCGCGGGAGAGCGCAGCTTGGACGGAAGGAGGCGGAGGCAGCCGGACCGTCCGCGACCCATGCACTCGCCCCTTTAACCCTTCCCAACCCGCCTGCGCCGGCCCCGCCCCACATTCGTTCCATCCCCGGATTGGCCAGCCCAAGGCCGACACGCCCCCGGATTCGACACGCCCCTGTGGGGTCCGTCCCCAGAACCGCTCTTAAAGGGGCCGAGACAGGTCGCGAATCCCCAGTACTCTGACCCGGGAGAGCGCATTGGAAAGTGGATTCGAGTCCCAAAGACCCAATGCGCATCCAAAGGCAAGATCAGACCATGATTCGCCTGGAAAAACCCAGGGTCCCGTACAGTGCCCCGGCCACTCGATGGGGCCCTAGGCCTGACGTCCGAGCTCCGCCTTAGCTGGGGTTGCCAGATTTAGCAGATTTAACACCCAGTTACATTAAATTTAAAATATGAAATACTCACGGCAACCTTATGTCTAACAGAAGGAAATTTGCCTGGTCCTGTGCCATTTTCATGATTGTTGGTATATTGGAGTCCATTGTTGTGTCTATTTTGCCAATCCATCTTGTTGAAGGTTTCTCTCCTTTTCTATGACTCTACACGATGTTCTTTCACTTACCAAACGTGATGTCCTTTTCTAGTGATTGGTCTTTCCTGACAACGTGTCCAAAGTGAGCAAGCCAAAGTCTTGCCATCCTCGCTTCTAAGCAATATTCTGGTTGTATTTCTTCTAAGACTGATTTTAAAAAATCCGTTGCCGTGGAGTCGATTCTGACTCATAGTGACTCTATAGGACAGAGTAGAACTGCCTCATAGGGTTTCCAAGGAGCGGCTGGTGGATTCTTACTGCTGACCAAGACTGACTAGAGGCCACTGATCTGCTTTCTGTCTGGATTTACCACATCTAGACATTTTATGTTAACGGGATCGTACAGTGTGTGGTCTTTTGCGCCTGCTTCTTGCATCTAGCATGTTTCAGAGGTTCATCTGCGTTGTAGCGTGTGTCAGTACTTTGTTCGTTTTTATGGCTGAGCAATATTCCATTGAATGCTTGTACCACATTGCATTTATCCATTGATCCATTGATGGACATTTGGGTAGTTTCCACCTTATGTCTGTTATGAATACTCAGGGGTCTTTGGGGTTGGAAACCAGAGAGAACTGGAGAGGGGATGGTGAGTCAGGATAGAAGGGAAATTTGGGAACCAGAGCTGAGTCGTGGCTGCCATTACAAATCCTGATTATTTTACCTCCAAACCATTTCTCAGATCTGTCACTTCTCCATCTTTACCACCACTTCCCCATCCCAGGCCACCTTCTCTCCTCAGGCCGACTGCAGTAACTTATTTTTGGTCTTGCTGCTGCCACTGTGATCCTCGTCAGCTTGGGTCCATTCTCCACCAAGCAGTCTGAGGGATTCTCTTAGACCTTACATCGTGGCCCTCAAAGCCTTGCTCAAAGCCTTTCCATGGCTACCCACTGCTTTGGGATAAAGCCCAGACCCCTCCCCATGAGCAACAAGGCCCTGCTTGTCCTGCTTAGCTGCAGCCACCGGGGTCCTTCCGTCTCCAGAATGCACCACGCTCCACACCTTTACATCTGCTGTTCCTCCTTCTGCAAAAGACTTCCTCCTACACTCCACCCCACATGCCCTCCCCCTACTCATCCTTTAAGCCTTTGCTCAGCCATCTGCTGATCCTGCTGAGGCCAAGTGCCTTTGTTCCCCCTAATCACTCATTCTTTCAAGCAACATTTATTGAGCACCACTGTATTCCAAGCACTGGGGAAAAAAAAAAACAAGAAACAATTTTCCTTGAGTCAATTCCAACTCATCGAGACCCCATGTGTGTCAGAGTACAACTGTTCTCCATAGGGTTTTTGGTGGCTGATTTTTCAGGGGTAGATCGCCAGGCCTTTCTTCTGAGGTGCCTCTGGGTAGACTCAAACTGCCAGCCTTTTAGTTAGCAGCCGACCACTTTAATTATTTGCAATGCCCAGGGACTCCCAAGCACTGGGGATACAAGTTAAAAAGACAAATGTCCCTGCCCTCCCTGACCAGAGGGAAAAAATAGTGAAGGAATGTACATATGGTACATTTAGTGAAACTAGGAGCCAAGGAGAAAAAGCAGAGCAAGAGGATATCAATTGTCCGTGAAGATGGGGAGGGGTGCCGTTTTAGCTAGGAGGGGGCCAGTGCACGAGCCATGTATATGTCTGCAGGGAAAAGCATTCCTGACAGAGGGAACAGCAAATGCAAAGGCTCAGAGGCAGGAAACACATGGAGGAGCCACTGTGGCCAGAGCAGAGATATCAAGAGGAGAGGAGAGATGGGATCAGGGGGCATGTGGGCATTTCTCTGTTTTAAAGGATTAGCAAGATGAGAAGGAATCAGCAAGGGAGATGAGAAGGCACAGGCAGTGAGGTGGGAGAAAAAACAGAAGTCAAGTGCAGGAAGCCTGTGTGGACTTGATGAGTCTACCTAACCTAACCCCCACCCCAGTAGAAGGCTAGCTTCATGAGGGAGGGGTCTTTTCTGCCTTGTGCACGGCAGCCTCTTCTATCTGACCCAGTGCACACATACAGTAGGTGCTCAGTGGTTGTGATCTGACTCAGTACCAGGGCTGGTACCCCCAGGAAGGCACCCACAGGCCCCCCACCATCTTGCGTCCAAATCTCAGCCACCCTGACCCTTTGCAGTGACCCCCTCTTTTGCTTAGTGGCCGGCACCCAGCTAAGTGGGTCAGCATAGGGGAGGACAGTGGGCAAGGCGAGGTCTGCGGCAGAGCTTCCTTCCACAGTGGCTGCCCCACCCCAAGTGGGCTGGACCAGCCATCCCAGCATGGTACTGAGACTGTCCTCCACTGCAGGCACGCTGGCCCCAGACCACACTCTGGGGAGGGACACAGCAGGGAAGGGAATGGGAGATGGAAAGGGTCGGTGTCCCCCCACTTCAAGGAACCCCTTTCTCTCGTATGTTTGGGGGGGAAGTGAGGACCCTAGGTGCACCACCAGCCTGAGCCCCTGGCTGGCGTATGTGAGCCCGTTTTCCTCAAGGCACTTGCCTGCTTATCCCATGGCCCCAAATAGAGGATTCCAGAACCCTGCTTTAAGGCGACATTGCTGACTGCTCTCACTGTCTCCTCCATCATTTATGGGGCCTCTCATCTTCCCCCCAAACCCTCTCCTCTGATGCAGACTCCCCCAAACTCCTAGGTACTTTCTCCCGAGGAGCAATTTAAATCTTCTCTGCGTTTCAGCTCCGTCTTATTAATAACCAAGATGTATTGCGTACAGGCCCAGAGCCCTGCTCCTGGTACATCAGTCCTCACATGGAATCCTAGAAGGTTGAGAACCCAAAGCTTGGAAAGTGTGAGTAACGTGCCCACGGTCACACAGGAAGGGGCAGAGCTGGGCTGGAACTTAGGCTTATCAGCCACCAGAGCCCATGTTGCTAACCACTTGGCGACACTGCTTCCCTTCATGCCATCCCCTCAAAGGGTCTCCTCTTCAAACCCAAGTAAGTCTCTCTAGATACTACCCTAGCAAAACCCACACACTAACAACCTCCTCTCTGAAACGAACCCACACCTCTTCGCAGAATCAGGAGTGTCTGCCGTCCAAACACACTGCCATCGGGTTGATTCCGATTCATAGCGACCCTACAGGACAGAGTAGAACTGCCCCACAGGGTTTCCAAGGCTGTAATCTTTACGGAAGCAGACGGCCACAGCTTTCTCCCACTGGAGCGGCTGGTGGGTTCAAACGCTGACTCACCACCAGGGCTCCTGTCTGCCATCAGCACGTGCGTTAAGCGGAATTTGTTTCTGGACATAAAGGAAGGTGGGGCTGGTGGGAGTGGTCCCTGAGCCACACCTAGGATTGCAGAAAGGCGGGGAGAAGTGGTGTGTTTGCTGTGCCTTCTGCCAGAAATGCTCCCCTCTTCCAGACTCGTAAAGCAACCTGGAACTGTGCTTTGGGTGGAAATGAATGGGTTTAATGCCCAGGAGGGCGTTCCAACTCTGGCTCTGCCGTTTGCAAGCTGTGCCTCGGCAAATCACTCCACCTCTCTGTGCCTTTTCTGTAAAACAGGGAAATAATAGTCCCCACCTCCTAAGGTGTTATTTCAAGAATAATAGCTAGTGTGTATGAAGCACGTGCTTTGTGTTTTGTTTCTGAAGACAAAGCTGTGAGGTAGGCACAAGTTTACTATCCCTATTGGAGGAGCCCTGGTGGCGCAGTGGTTAACAGCTCAGCTGCTATCCAAAAAGGCTGGCAGTTCAAATCCACCAGCCGCTCCTTGGGAACCGTATGGGGCAGTTCTACTCTGTCCTATAGGATTGCTATGAGTCAGTTTGGTTTTTTGGTTTTATTTAATAAAACAAAACACACAGAGAGGTGAGGTGGTATGCTTAAAGTCACACAGCGAGCAAGTGGATTTGAATCCAGGCCGTCTGGAGCCTGAGTCTACACCTCATGGCCCCTTTAGGTAATAATATCAGACCTTCGGGACAGCGCTGGCACATAGTAAGTGCTTAATAAATGCTAGGTGTTATTTCCTTCTGCTCAGAAGTTTTGATTGGCAGTCCAAACATCTGTGAGTAGTAGAAAACTTTTAAAAGCAAGTAAATCGTTATCTGGGATATGTGGTGTTTTTGGAGTAAAGAAAATCAAAACATAAGGCCATTGGGGGCCATTTTACTTAAAAGTGGTTTAATGTTTTTTCTTAATTTTTTGTATTGTACTTTAGGTGAAAGTTTACAGAACAAATAGTTTCTCATTAAACAGTCAGTACACATAAATTGTTTTATGACATTGGTTAACAACCCCAC